ATTAGTAATTTTCTTGTGATATATGAAAAAACTAAAGCAACTATTTTTTTTATGTCAATTAGTGAATAATGGAGTATAGTATATTTTCAAGATTTTTAAAAAATATCATATACCACATTAGTTAATTTGAAATGGGATTATAGATTACTTATATAATTAAATATGAAATAATAATTACGATTTTTATAACAATAAGCTGCTAAATTGTTCCATGATGAAAAAAAAAATTCAAAATGATGTTTTTCTTTTGATCTAATGCATACAGAACTCATATCTTTTAACTTAAGCAATTCTACCGAGCTATTATTCTTAAAGTCAATATACGAAACACCAGATTCTTCAATAGTAGGCTGCCATTTTTTYAATTGTACTTTAATTTCTTTATTTTCATCAAACATAATCAAAACAATTCTTTCAGGACATACACTGCGTACTTTAAAAACATAAGATGTATTCTAAAATATAAAAATAAATTAGTAGGGGATAAGAATTAGAAATAATAATGATCATCTTACTTTTAATTGTGCAACATAGTCACCTTTGGTATATACTTTAAATGAATAAGCCGGTAACTTAGTATGTTTTTCAGGTAGTACTCTAATTTTAATTGTATTAATTACTCTACCATAATCACTCAAAGCAACATTAACACTATTTCCAGCAACCAAAGTTACATATCCACGGCCATATAAATTAGTTGCATTATCAAATGCACCAACTAACATTCCATATTTCAGATCATTTCTAAATTGTATGTTTCATGATGAATAATAATTAATAAACATATTTGCAAGTTTCAAAAACTTTATCATTTACATATTAAGAAGATCAGAGCATTCAATATCATTGCTAATTATTTTCAACTTGTCTTGTATATTATCACCATCATTAAAAAATGTAGTGAAACCAGTAAACATGTTTGGACTTAACTTTTTTTCAATTTTAATTTCACCACCCATACAATTTTCAAAACGATAATAGAAATCGAGTTTATTAAGTTCAAATTCAGGCCTGCAATTTAATCAAAAATATTTTGTA